CAAAATGCTCTTACGCAGCTGAAGATTACCATGAAGACGTCATTGAGTACGACTCTCAGGAATACCAGTAGTTTTCCACTGTTAAATGACAATTATAAGCTGTGACATGTTTATACATCTAAATCTCTGAACTCTTGAGCCTTGCTCGTGATAATATTACTAAGAACCAAAATTGTTAAAACGATCAAAATACAGCCTAGATCAAACAGGTTCGAAGTGCGAAATCCCTAATCGCAAAAAACGGAATTTCAAAGGCAAATGGAGCTGAAAAGCTCGAAGACGACTGACATAATGATCAGTAAGTCGGTGCAAGGTTTACCCGCAAATTTTAATTAAGTTGACAGCACAAAGACGAATCCAGAACCTTTTCGTTGAGTTACAGTGGCTCACTTTTTTAACAATTGGTCAGGTGAAGGATCTATAGCACCAGGATATTTTTTGGAATTCTTGGTGACAGTTTATTTTGATTTTCGTCTCTACGTACATTTTCGTGACTTGGTCGCTACTTAATTAGAATTTCCTAAGCTGATAATAGCGATCACTGTGATGAGCCTGGTATAGTTTACAACAGTATCAACCATTTTGATCACTGCACCGAGCAAAGGATGATTAGTAGTAGCGATGGAGTTTTGTGGAAGACGAACTCCCATATGCAAAGTTTGTTAGTGTTGACTTGACAGTGAGCCGACGTCAGGTTAAATGTGAGCTGCATGCTTTCCTCCAGCTAGTTTGAAGGATGAAACGTTTCAACTTATACAACAAATTTAGCGAACTTGTTTGTTGTATCTAGGCGCATTCATGCCTCGGGTTTACTCCATAGCAGCCTACTGATTATCTCTTTCTTTTCAGACACCCACTAGCAAAACGTTTGAGAAAGGGATGCTCCATAATTAGTCATAATTTCATTTTATCCAGTTGAAGGCATTGATTAATTGGTTCTACCTTAGTTACCTTCCAAAGACCGAGCTTTTGAAAACGGATTTTAAGTATCCATTTTCGTTAGACGAGCAAACAGACAGCTTCATGATAACTCTTTCATAAATTGTTAACAATTTCAAATTATCGGGTTCAGCAAGGTCAATTGAATAAATCAAGTGAAATAACTCACTCATTACGACATGGAAGCATCTGACCAAAATGCGCTGATACATTTGTCTTGTAACCATAACAATGAGATAAATTCTGACCGATGACCCTCCATTTCCAATAAGTGGCTGACTCGTTGGATGCATCCCGTCGATTTTGCAGCTGTCCACAATGACGGCTTTTTTACCCCAATCTATACTAATGGGGAAACGTTTTATGGTTTTTGTACTAATACCTTACAGCGCACGGTTATTTTTCTCCCGGCTCACAAACTCTGAATTCAACCTCATCGGTCGTGAAGCATCTTCGTAACCAAGGGTTTAGAAACGTTCAAAACCTCCGTTCACCCGAGTTTCATAAATCACCTCGTGTGTACAGAAGAAATTGAAGCGGACTCTGTGACCTGTTTTGGGTTTTCAGACTGAAATTTTATTCTCCATGCTGTCTTGTTCAAAAGAATCATGGAAACTCAGTGTTCGGAATATGATCGGAATATTTTGAAAGAGATAGCTGTCTTTACAAATCTGTGCCGCGAGTAGTTCGGACTATGAAAATGGCAGTGTTGTGAGGAAATACTGTTACAATACAATCAAGGCAACTTTGTTTTGTTTATACTGTTCGCGATCGTCTTGTTTCTTCTTGGAAGTGAGTAATTAGAACCACCAGTAATAAATAGAGGCATTTGCCGTGAGTAAGATGGAGACCTCTCTTTCACTGTCTGGTCAGGGTTGCATAGTAACTCTCTACCCTCGTATCGATTCCACTCTAAATAAGCAGTGATAGGTCCTACGAAATTCGTCCACTGCGAACTTCTGTCACTTTCCTTTGAGCATGCTGGATACACATACATCGAACACGATCATCTATCACAAACGTTCCCACTGAGTTAACATCATTTTTCCAATGCGGCTTCCAAGTGACGTAATCACGAAAAAATCTGGGCCGCTTCTGTCGGTGGGTAGTGTTGAGGAAAGGAAAGTTCTCTCTCTTCACAGAGTACAGCATTCTCTAACCAAAACTGTAACCTTAACGTAGTGGTCGGGCTTCAATGCACCTATGGTCCTTCAGGCTAAACTGTCTCGAACCCAGTTTCTAACGATTCAACCATTCCAGGTGGGCGAGTAAGAGAAGTCCGACAAAGAACATCGAGTCCCCGTACTGTGAGTAACCATATCACGAGGCGGTCTGGAGGTACTGTACTCTGCGACGCTAGTAGGAAGGCGATAGGATGTTTTCTTCAGGCAACCAGTTTATCCATGTTCATGGAAGTAGCGATGTTACCTTTCTCCAAGGAAGGACAGGCCATGAAACGCGGTCCCTAAAAACAGCATACCCCAATCGCCCAGTGGTTGACCTTAACAACCAGCATATCGTTCAATACGGTAAAATACTCTTAGAATCGAAGTTTCCGGTACTGATCAGAAGACCCCATTGTGCGCAATCGTATTAAAAGCGAGTCCTCGGGTGAGGCCGGTCCCCTACAAACAGGCGGGTCAGAATATTGAATCACTTGTTTCTGGAAAGATCCCTTAAGACCGCAAACTTGTGGTTCAGACTTTTGAACCAAAGGCTTTTGTTGGGCACCTCAACCAAGCCCCGGGCAAATACAAAGTAACTTTTAAACTTACAGGTCTCCATAGCTTGTAAAGGACAAATTTTCATGTAAATATCCTTTATCTTTTTAAATAATGAGTATCTTGAGTCAGAGGTGCACCTAGAATCTCAGGTTAACTCCTGGGGTGTTCACTAGCCAATCCACTCAAATTCATCCGAAACATGGCTGGGTGAAGAAGGCTCCGGTAAGCAAATTTGCGAAGCCATGAGCATAAAAGGCGTAGCCTATAGAATTTGAGACTTTGATCTATTGAGGGTGAGTGAAATTGTTCCAAAACAATCTGACCCACTTCAACATTACGAATGTGGTGATCCTACCAGACAACCGCAATGCGGTTTCCCAGGTGAACAAATAGAAAACGACCGGTTCACCTCCAAGCAGGAGGTGTGAGTTTGATCCCACTCAATCTTGCAGCAGCACGTTGAACTTTCCAGGTGCAAAACATATTCCAAAGTGTGCAGCAGAATTATTTAGGTTATCTCAAATAATTTGCAGATCGAAAGGATCTGGCAAAAGACGAGCAAGATTGTCGGCTCAGTTTGATTAAAAGAACGCCCTAGGAGTGTTACGATCCTCGAGATATGTGGGACGGAAGATTCAAGCAGTAAAACGGTTAGAAAGTTGAAAAGAAAGGTCAACATAGGGTCCTTGCCTGACCACCAAATGTACTGAACTCAGGAGCGAATTTGCCATAGCTACGTATGCATCCAAAAGAGCAGGCATATAAAACCTTCTTGGGAGACAAGAATTTAGAAGGGCGTCCTTCCTCCCCATACACCAACACTTTTCGATGGTCAATGCAGTCAACAGCCAATGTTTATTTCGAGAAATTCAAGAACTTTTGTTCTCTGAAATACGTGGCGCAGTTCTTAAACTTACATCACTGTGAAGATATGATTGAAGCAACCCCGGCCAAAGTGAAACCCAGCTTGATTTTCGCGAACCTGGACCTCTAGGTGACGGATCAACCTGCTGAGGATATCACGAGAAAAAAGCTTGAAAGCTACAGCCACTAGGCGAATGCACTAGGCGAATGCCTGACTGTTTTCTGCATTATGTTACTGCAGTGATTTTAAAAATGAGAGTCACGTTTTAGGTATCCCATTCTACTGGAAACTTTTTCTACTCAAAACTCATGAGTAGGGTCTTTACAACAGACTCGCCGCCTTCCTGGCAGAGTGCAGGGTGCAAAACTTTTAGCTCTCACATTTATTGCACTGAAGTACATCGGATTTTCATCAATAATTGCGGACCGATGACAGCGTCTTTCTCGGGTCCAGTTTATTCTTCAAGTGGGGGATAGCTAAACTGATCATCAAAATGTTCAGCACATCACTCAACACGACGTTCCTGGGGAGTAGAATGTTGTCCCATCCTTTTCACAGATCATTTCATTCACACTCCTCGGACGAACTACTTGGGCTTTCTGGAACAAGGTGCCATTGTTCTCCGTTGCAAAAGCCCTTTCCCAGGCTGTTGTGATCCTTTACCATTCTTTCACTCCTGAGGCTCTTCATTATTTTGTCAACTTCCCTCGAAATTTGGAACTCCGAGCCTTAACAACACAATACAGTACTTGATCTTGAGGTGCCAAACACACAGATCTTGCCTTGGAACCACTTACTCCCTTGTGATGCCTTGATTATTTCTCATTTAAAAGCTTTTTGCATACTGGCAGCACGTTACGTGGAATTTTTATAGGTCCGAATGTTTAATGTCAGTAGTTTGTGCCTAGTCAGCAACCACTGGTCGTGTGAATGACGTCAGCTAAGTTTGAGACTACAGCGTTTGGAGGGGTCCAAAATATCTAGAGATTTGATAAATGGCTTCACTCGCATGAAGATCAATCTTCAACTCATTTCAGTGTGAGGACATATTGCGCATGGCGAGTTCATGCTAATTCTGTAATTCCTTCTGGTAACGGACAAATTCTCATGAAGTCAAGCAATTTCACGCAGGAAAATTGTTGGGAACGTAAATTTAAAAGTTCAGAAATGCCGATAAATTGGTGGATGCTAAAAAATACAACAGTCCCATTCTAAATGCCGAATTGAAAGGTTCAAAGAAAGTACTGCTAGAAACATTAGAGACGCGCTTGGCAACATGTCTTGTTATTGTTTTTTGGACGCACACGTTTTCGCCCAGATTGACTGATAAATTGTCTGGTATAACGGTAACAGGGAAAGAATTCAGCCCAGCTCAGCACACAGGATTTCGGGTCGATTGATGACAAAAGCTATTCAGACAAAAGATTGACGTGTAATTAGCGGCACATAGATTTCAACCTAAAAGCACTTACTCAGTATCGGTATCACAGGATCCTCGACAGTGCTGGTATAAAAATGTGTGGTGCATTTCCGCGCCCAGGTGTTGTGCGTGTGCCATGCTTTTTTTCTGTAATTTTCTGGGTATGTATTGATATAGCACAGAACACGAATGTCACGTTTCCGGAGAAAGCGTGACTGAGAGACATCTGTGAAATGGCAAGGTGTTGTTGATTAGACAGATGGTTAACAACTCACCTATCTGAAGTTCTGGATCGTTTACAGCCTTGTATGCTTTGTTGCGAGCACCGTTTATAGGAGGAACAGGTCCGAGGAGTAGGTGTGTCACTTTGATGAACACAAGGCCGACAATGGCACCAAAGACGAGAAAAGTGCCTGAGCGGACTACATTTATTCGCATGCCTTTAAATCTCTTCTTCTGGATAAATCTGACAGGTCAAATTGTCGGCTGTGGTATAGTAAAATGGAGTAACTGCCGGGTTAAGATTTATTGAGAGCACGACTAGAAGCATTTGAAACAAACCACCTCTAACTGATGAAAATCAAGGGGAAGCGAAATTTCAATTTTACCATTGATGACAAGACTGACTGTCTCATGTTTACACAGGGACAACTAATCATGTTTGACTGGTCCAAAGCCAGACTATTTACTTAGAAGAGAATCCTCAAAACCCAAAAATTTGGTGTTATCTCACGAAAATTAATCTAAATGGCGAACGACGGATTTGATTCAACGAAGATGAACAAAGTACTCCAATGCACTCACTGTAGTAAACCAGTAGAGCACCATGTATGCAAGTGAAAGAACACAATACGGACACTTTAATACGTGGATAACTACCCTTTATTTCCATGCATAAGAACAAAGCAAGGCAAACTGCATCCTGTAAACGTAAAAATCTTTGCACATTCATAAGCCGTACACCATGGTACAGCGCAATCAATCAGTCTGATTGAAGAACTAATGCAAAACAGCGAATGTTTAACTGGAATGCTCAAAGTGAGCTGAAAATTGGAGTAACCTAATTGCAAACAGGAACGGCCTTGGGGTCAGAACAACAATGATCGTAGAGAGTTCAAAGCCAGAACAGTCTAAAGCGAATCGACCATTGGGTGAAAGTTATGGGGAATGAGCTAAAATTCCACATGGTAACGGACCAGGATGAACCCGGGGTAACAGACACACCAGTGAAACCTCCCAGTCTGTCACAGAAGAAAGTCGGCTCCACAACAAATCTACTACCCAACGCACATCTAATCATAAACTGGTACTTGCCGCACCGCAAAAACGCGCCGATGACGTCACACTCGGTGAAGCAGAGTTTGACATCAAATTTTGCAGGTTGCCGAAAAAAGGACAAGGTCTTGTGATGTAGAAATAACATATGGTTTGTGGAAGCCTGTTGGCACCACATATTGATTGATTTGATAAAAAAGCAAAACAATGTAGTTTGGAAAACTATAGAAACATTGGCGAGAAAAGGGTGAGCGCCCATTTTAAATGAAGCAACTCATGAGTGCCAGTTCAAACCTGAAAAAGATGTCAACATCCTGAAGAAGAAAAAACGCGAGAGGAACCATCTCTCTGAAAACACAAACTGATCGACCAAAATCAGAACAGAACCAGTTGTAACCTACTTCCACAAACAGTGTTATTGCTAAAGTCAAAGAAACATTATTTCGGTGCAAATGTTGCACTCATGCAAGATCATCACAGTGATAAACTGTCTTCAAGCATTCGAACCGTTCAGATTTGTATGGGCAAGCTCAATCTCTGCCTTGAGACACATCACATGCGAACACATCAGAGTGGCCGTTTCTGAATCATCTCAAACATATCACCCAAATATGAATTCCTACTGGGGCTGTGCATACATTTTCCTACCGCATCCGAACCCTTCCTGATTCCTGTTACACAACGTCCTACAATGTAACGTTTACTACAAAGCATATCATCGATAGCGTTCGCTCCGTACTACGTGCTACAAGCTGGTGCCATCGGACTGACGTTCAGAGGATTAGGCACACAATAAGATGATACTTTCTGCCTACCAAATATATAGAGGTAGTAGACAAACGTCCCATCGAGATGGTTGTCGGATATGACACCGATAGGACTTTTGTAGAACCTCGTGGTGAATCGGACACCATAATGCTAAACAAAGTCAGGCAGATGATTATTCACATGGGAGCCGAGCAGAAAGATGAAGCTGGCCCTATCAACGTTTGTGAGAAGGCTTGGAAAACACTAAGAAAGTGGGTGTAGTTTTAAAAGTTCTTCCTAAGTGAGACCGGGATGTACCAAACTTTACCCTTGAACTCCAATTATGATTGAGATATAAAACATGTGACTTGTCTTCGCTCTGCGCTCCAATTGCACTCGTTTTTATTCCGAGTAAACATCGCCCCGTCTATTTGTTTGGATGTTAGTGTATAAGTACAGTCACACTAGTACTCTGTAATCAAATCGAATAAATGAACCCGGGTAATAGTGAAAGATCACGGTATGGTTTAGTAGGGAAGCTAAAGTAAGTATGTGATCCGATTTTGATGTGGTTTGACACTAAAATTTCTAAAAATTTGTTTTGTTTTTCCATTTGTCCAGTGTGGTGAACACTAGGTACGTGGTCATGCGAGCTGGAATACAACAGTTGTTTTAGGTGATTTGATGACTGCAACTAATTCTCAACTGTTACAGAAACACCGATGAACTGCTAACATGTGACGCATTTTTTGCTCACGTCAGTTGAAGATTTGCTATATGTTATCGTATTAACACAAGTCTGGATTCCGGTCTGTGTTGTATTTGTTCTACCTGTTAGCTGAGCGTGTACATGAGAGTAGTGAAGTCAAGATCGAAACACAAATGCAGTCCGTGTAATTAGCAAATAGAAACTAAGCAGCAGTAAATCCGGAAAGCGTACGGCTTCGGCCGTTCCCTGAATGAACGTTCTGAATGAGATTGGAAAGTTTTAATAAGAATCTAAGGTGTTGTTGAGGAATTCGGTGAATCGACGCCTTTACTGGAATAGAACCGCAAGGTCCCGTTTGGGGATTCGTTTTACAACAAACGCTGTTTCTTCCAGGTTTATCTCGGATTCGAACATTCACGTTCTTGAATATGGCAGGGCCTCTTGACCGTAGAAGTATATATTTAAATAAGAACCAGGGTATCGTGCTACGTACGGAGTAACCAAGCTTCCGCGGGGCCGAAATAAAAATGACTGCGCATCAGTAAGCCTTACCGTGAGAAAACATATGTAAAGTGCTAAAATTTTCAGAAACAAATTTTTGTATGTGATCCGATTTTGATGTGGTTTGACACTAAAATTTCTAAAAATTTGTTTTGTTTTTCCATTTGTCCAGTGTGGTGAACACTAGGTACGTGGTCATGCGAGCTGGAATACAACAGTTGTTTTAGGTGATTTGATGACTGCAACTAATTCTCAACTGTTACAGAAACACCGATGAACTGCTAACATGTGACGCATTTTTTGCTCACGTCAGTTGAAGATTTGCTATATGTTATCGTATTAACACAAGTCTGGATTCCGGTCTGTGTTGTATTTGTTCTACCTGTTAGCTGAGCGTGTACATGAGAGTAGTGAAGTCAAGATCGAAACACAAATGCAGTCCGTGTAATTAGCAAATAGAAACTAAGCAGCAGTAAATCCGGAAAGCGTACGGCTTCGGCCGTTCCCTGAATGAACGTTCTGAATGAGATTGGAAAGTTTTAATAAGAATCTAAGGTGTTGTTGAGGAATTCGGTGAATCGACGCCTTTACTGGAATAGAACCGCAAGGTCCCGTTTGGGGATTCGTTTTACAACAAACGCTGTTTCTTCCAGGTTTATCTCGGATTCGAACATTCACGTTCTTGAATATGGCAGGGCCTCTTGACCGTAGAAGTATATATTTAAATAAGAACCAGGGTATCGTGCTACGTACGGAGTAACCAAGCTTCCGCGGGGCCGAAATAAAAATGACTGCGCATCAGTAAGCCTTACCGTGAGAAAACATATGTAAAGTGCTACAATTTTCAGAAACAAATTTTTGGACAAAAGCATTCGGCTAATATTGTAGTCTCCATTTTTATAGTCCATTTTGTAATCTCCATCTGCAGTCTTGTTTTGTGCATCGGCACTAACGTTCTGACCTTTTTGGCGTTCTGTCCAGTGCACAATTATCACGTCTCCTCTGATGGTGACTAAACGTTTGCCTAATCAGCATCCGTCAGATGGAAATCATCCATAAGCTATATGGTATTCTATGAAATGTAGCCACTACTATACGTCAACGAACGCTGGCATCAAGTGGACATTCGGACATCACCGACAAAAAGCCAATCACAAAACTTCGTTGCTTAATAATGTTTCAAGCAATTTGGAAGCCACTTGTACGTAGATCAAGCTCACTGGAATTTGTGTGCGACCTTTGGAAAAAGCAAGCCTTTACGTTTTGCTTAAAGACGGTCCGGTTTAGGCGCGTTTTCGTGGACTATACCACTTCTTAGAGAAGGTGAAAACTTACGGTCGAGGTCATTAGTTGTTTCTTCTGGCATGGAATGCATACAAAGTACCGTCCTATAGAAGTGCTTCTATCGATGTTTAGTCCCTGGGAATAGCCCCAAAAATTTAAGTTAACCGCGTAGAATGCAAATAGCAATTTTATGGCTGTTTTTTATTACGTCAACTTGATGTCCTCTTTATTGTATTGCAGTTTTCAGTCTACAGTGGGCTTTCTAAGGCTTGCTTTCAGTGGTCTTGTTAACTCTTTTAACGTTGCTTGCTATCTTTCGCATCACCCTCTTCTTTAATCGAATGGTTAGAATCATGGACGAAATCCGTTATTTACTGACATTGCTGTTTTCAGAGATAAAATTCTAGCAGAATGGAAAGTTCGCCGGCTTTTCTTCAATAAATTCCAAAAAGTTGATTTGAGAACGGATAGTTTCGTCGAAAATGTTAATTCTTGCGATCTTTTGTCAGCAATGGTTTGCGGTCAACAATGTCTTATTCCTTTTAGGCCACCCATCTTTTCTCTTGCTGAGCTTTTCTAAAGTATATTGGCTAGGTGCTTGTCTCGTGGTGAAATATTTTAAGGTAAAAGGTTTAAAACTCCTGAACACAAATACTTCCAACCAATTATCACAGACGCAATCGAACAACAACAGGCTATGAGTCATTAATAAATTAGTAGCAGAAACGAAGAAGTGGTGCACTTCAATTTGATATAGAAGCTTATACTAATTTGAGCAGTTTTTACTCTGGAATCGTGATCTGTCTAGTGAGTGTTCTGGAGGAACCTAAGAACATCCGCTTCTTCAAAAGTCTGTAATGCATACCCGTCTGGTCTGTTTTCATGCCTGTGCATGACTTTGTTATTCAGAATCAATAAAGTAAATCAGGTCTCATTTGGGATGACATGAAAAGCGGTTCACATCGGATAACTAGACAGAGGATCTGTTCAAACCATGAGGACCGTATTTGATAGCATACTGTGGGTCATATATTCGCCTTTCACCCGCTTCGGATTGAAAAGCTGTTATATTTTTGTTATTTAGTAGTAGAACACACAAAATGGGACCTTGACATCAGACACAATTTATTACATTCACAGCCGGAGACTTTAAAGAAAAACATTTCACTAGCTGAAAATTTGAGGTCGACAAAAAATTTTAGTGCGACATCAATCGTTGTCTTCTCTCTGTAATAGTTGATAAGTGTTTCAAGAAATGCACACACTATTATTAATCCAGTGATCTGTTGAGTGATAGCCGTCTATGTACTTTTTTAAGCTTAAACAAGTAGACCAAACAGTTCTCGGTAAACTGAAACGGCGTTGTACGTGACAATGCTTTAGCCATCAAGAGCGAGGTAACCGGTTGCTTCTGTCTGATGAAAGCCTGATCCTGCTCTTTTTGTCAGTGTGAGAGTTAAGAATGATCCATTTAAAATCTGAATGAAAGCTCCTAAATAAACCTGAAACACCACAATTGTTACTTTTCAGTCCAACTCAGCTCCTTTTCTTGTCACCGTTTACCTCAGCACGTAGATTTCCAAACATGTCTGGACGTCATTCAGAGTTTCAGTAATCTCAGTTCCAGGTGATAGCAATTCAAATACGCCATTGGATACTCATACGTTCAATGAGCCTTTTATCTCCCCATATAGCGGACGCTAATCCCTGACCTTATTGAGAAACTGTCCACTCATTTCACTGAATTTTCAAAGCAGATTGTTCCAGCCAATTTAATGGTAAACTGTGAGTGTTTGTCTCCTGGTAAGGCGGGGACTGACTCACAACCTTTGACCGAAACTCGCACAACAAATTCACAAGAAATGGAGGTTGAACAAAACATTTCCACCAAAGAATCACATGTAAAAAAGATTCCAAGCCTAGCGCACCAAGAGACAATTCTAAAGAATCTTGTGTGGACAGTCATCTTGCCGACACATTTCTAAATTATGTATAATCTTCGTCAAGCAATAAAACCATTTGTTAATTAAGATCTTAAATTTTACTTATTGCATCAAAAGAATGGCCTACTTCTGCACTTTATGGGGGGAAACGTTCCAGGAAACGCACGAGTTCTGCTAGTGCTTGGTGTCCACGGTTTGATTCAGGCTATCAAGAAGATAGGTGAAACCATTCAGATTGGCACTGGTTGGTCATATTTTCCCCAAAAATATGCTACCTCAACCAACATTACTCAGAATTCCACTTAGAACGTACCAAGTCCTCAGGCTTTAATTATGTTAACGAAAAACCAAGAAGTATTACGCGAAACTTACAGCCTCTTAGTCGCTAAGTGGACCATAAAGTAGCAGTTACGGCCGCAAACTGACTCTCAAACAGTATGTCGGTAAGTAAGGCGGAATGACATTCATTCACATATCTCAGTCTTGGATTCATTTTACGCCGTGATTGGTTGGTTCACCCACAAGTCATTGTTGGTTCTCCGATTGGCTGTTAGGTTGTAGAGTTCACGCCATATACCTAGGGCTATTGCCTCACCTAATTTGTCAACTGGTGAGCGCAAAACTACGGTCTGTTGCGACAAATCGAAATAGTTTTGAATCGTTCCTGAACCCAGCATCAGAGGCCAGTTAGTAAAACAAGCCTACTGTGCGCCTTCCAACCCTTTTAAAATGTCTCCTTCTGTAATTATGAATGGGTTTTAGAACGTGGTACCTTAGGCCTTGCACAAAGATGTATACGCTCAGCCTCAAAAATTCGATTCATTTAATAAAACGGACAACTAACGTCCACAGCTAGAAAGGTTTTCTGCAGACTATTGTGAGTTATGCTATATATCTAGGGAGTACGTTACCAACTACTAAATTGAGCTATATCCAAATCTACTGAAATACAATATTCACTCAGATCTGTCAGATGGCAGTCAAACGACGCAATAGGCTGATTTCGTCTTTCGTTACGTGCGTTTCATTCCGTATTATGCCACACAGTAGTGGCTTCCGTCAGACGAAGTAACTAAAGTGAAACAGTCCCGCTAACTTTCATATGATTAGTTCTCCTAAACCATACCAGGTACGTATAAGAAATAAGAAACTCCATTCAATTGATATACGACGTTTAGAATTTCCATTGTCTTCGAAGAACTAAAACTCATGAAGCCACATCGCCGAACTGCAGTGGAAAACCCGAAACCATGAGGAATCCCATGATATATGTGGGGTCAAATGCACACCAGAATTTCGCTTCATTGTGAGAACCAGACGGAGAGAAGACAAGACTTCCCCACGTAAATTGATGGATGACATACTAATGTAGGAAGTTTACAATGTGTCATTCCATGTGTTCTATTACTTCTGTGGCCACATATATAAAATCCTCATAAAAACCCTTGGTCTCAGAATCAAAGGCAAGTCACGTGATAATTTAACCTTAGGTTTCCCATCTTATCCTTGTATAGATATTCATGAAAGTCCAAAGTATTATCGTAACTCAACCAGAAAATATGTACTCAAGCCTTCAATACCTTTACAGCAAACCATACACTAATCTCTTGCTTTGCCGTCCACTTTTACAATGAGCATCAGTTGACAGTGAGTTCATTATTTTTCTTTGTGATGAGCATCTGATGGTACAATTTGATGGTACAATAATTACGCATCCGCGAATTTGTGAATGCTGAACCTACTCGTTACTACCTGCGTGGTGCTTGTAAATGTAGGTCCCAGCTCTATTAGCGCGGTGTTACAATTAAGTTAACCGGTTCAAAGTGAACCGATGAATGGCTCCAAGCGGCAATCATAAGTTTCATGAAGAAAAATACCCACGAGTATGCTGGAAACTCTTCGACAACCAATGACCGGTTCCACTCCTACTAGGGCTCATCAAGTAGGCCTCTGCAGCACATTCAGTTGAAGAATTTCATGAAAAGAGAGATTCATTTGAGTCCTGCGTGAAAACCCAGTTGAGTTGCGAGAGAGTAAATTTTTTGAAATCTGTCCAGTTTGGGTACAAGTAAAGCATAAGATTGACGGAAACTCGAGGACTGCTCCTACTTGATGAGCCCGAGAAAAGCGAAACCGGTCGTGGGCTGTCGATTAGTTTTCAGTGACCTCGTGAGTAGTTCCTTTTATGAAAAATATTGCGGTCTCTTTTATCGTGCAGAGTGAACCATGAAGCGGCCTGTGTGTATCATACTCAGTTGAAAAATATCATAACCGAGAAATTCACTTCGGTCTCCTGTGAAAACTTACTTGATATGTAAACGTGCGTCGTATGGTTATGGTTATGTAACTCATGTCATGGTTGATTTTTTGCCACCATTATAGACTGGCCGGTTATTATTCAAGAGCCATTATGTGCTTTTACGTTCAAACTGGCATCAAGGGTTTGTAATTCTTCACAGGCGTGTTCATGCGAAACCACACTGTGACTTAACAACTTCGTACGATCATTTATAGGTTACATCGGCCAATCCGCCTAGAAGAGCAGCCAACACTTATTAGAAGTAGTATTAGTATGATTCCAGAATCTTTAGGTGACACTTGGGCGAACTCCGATAAACTTATTAGTCCCAGCAATGGCTTGCCAAATGTTGTCATTCTGGTTCTTCTAGGAACCTGTTGAAAAGGTCCGGTAGCTCTTCATAGTTTTCCAAGCAATTACTCTTTAGCGGTAGAGAATACAATGAAACAAGCTAGACAGTAGGACTAAGTTTCATAGTACCTATGAGCTCAGATATGATAGATAACTTTCGCCAAGTACGTAGCGATCCGACATCTGAGTCTTACTGCACTTTTAGCTTGAAGGGATGCAATGAAGCTACAACTGCCATGATGAATAACATGCAACTCCTCAGCTTATTGGATGTTCTGGGGATTTTGTGGCAAAACTGATTTGACGGGTGGAATGTATTACGGAACCATGTATGATCCGGATATGGTTGATCAGCTACCAGCATCAAATCCAGGTTTTGGGGTCCTAACTGGTAAGTACAACAGGATGAATCATCATCTGGTGGCCCTGACCAAACTATGGGTCGAATAGCGGCCTACTCGTCAGAATCCGGAGACTATATTGTCTTCAATCACGTGGAAAATATTTGAAACCGATTGGGTAGTCATCGTTTTCGAAAAAGTCTGGTGACAATTGGTAGATTTATTGCTGGGCAATGTTTCGCTTTTGACACAAAAGCTACGTCAGGCCAAGTGACTGGGTTCCGAGGTTGATCGAGATTTAAGGCGGAAGGAGAACCAATCAGCTAAGTCAAGCTAAATCTCTGTTGGGTGTCGGTCGAGGGATTTTTGTGTGT